ATATATATATATATGTATCTATAGGCATGGATCTCCATATGGTTGTAGTTTTGTTAAGTACGTTATGTACAGAAACCTACACACATAGATAAAGATCTATGTAGGCTTGATGTTACAATGTAGATGCAGGTATAGTTGTTTTACATATATACATGTATATGGGTAAGGGTTTAGAAATATGCCGGCACATGTGTGTATGTGCATATATATATATATATGCCTGAGGGCACAACGCCAGCTCCATAATCATAATGATATGCACATAGTGTGTATACACACGCACAACACATGATCGTGTACTGCGACAATAGCTCAGGTAGCTACACAGAATGATTTGTCTATATATATATATATACATATACCCAGTATGTATATATATATATATATACATATCAACACCGATATGTTTGGTATTACGCATGGATATAGGAATCTGGCATAATATGTACATATATATATATATATGGCTTTCAAGGCATGCCAAGCGGCTATCATGAAGCTCCAGCAGCAGATGGCGTCAGAGTGCAGCGGCACTCCGTCCACGATCGGTCAAGGCTCGCCTGCATATCATGTTTGCATGCTGGCATTGCTTGTTTATACTTGCATAATCATGTTTGGCACCCACGCAACTCATACACACGAGATTCGGTTGGGACTCAGGGCGGAGGGGTCAAAGGTAACTTGCTGCAGCTGTGTCAGTGCTTGCTTCTCTGAGACTTGGTGCTCGAGCTTTCTTCGCCCGCCCCCACCGATATTGCTGCTGCAATGAAGAAAGGTTTTTTGCTGGCGGGGGACAAGGATGAAAAGCAGGACGGGAAACAGCCTGCAGCCTCGGCCGACGTCAAGGATGCATCGGTGCAGCCGCCGGCAGACTCACCTGATGTCAAGGGGGCAGTGGAAAAACGTTATACCCAGGCTGAGATCAACCACTTCGTTGCACGTTTGCAGACAATGAGAGCTCTTGGAGTGGAAACCTACATGACGGAGTCAGGATTGCTGTTCGACCGAAACGAGCTGGAGGAGATCATTCGTCGCTATGGACCAGCATAGATCTCGATCGTTGCTCCTGCTCGGCTGTTCCATCGAGACCGACATTGTCAGTGCAACGACCAAAAAAAGCCTGATTGACTCAGCTGTTCTTGCGCTGTTGAGGGGAGTCCAATCCAGTGAGTGCAGCAGTTGTGTTCGCCTCCGTTGCACCCTGCAAGATTACATAGCTGCTTCAAGTATGCATGTAAATGAAAGATGCAAAAGTATATATATATATATATATGCAGTGTGTGTAGAAGATACTTAATATATTACTACACATGGGTTTCTACAGACGGCTCCGCACATTATACAGCAGTTATGTATATATATATGATATCTGAGCTCGAGTAATATATATATATATATATATACAATTATATATACATATATATATATATATATATATATATATACATTTGTGAGAGACATTCTATATATGTACCTGTATTCACACATGCACAAATGTTAATCATGTGTATATATATATATATAATTGCAGATGTGTATATACACCTGATGTAGACCGGTCTGCATGCATTTATAAGATAACTGATGGGTACCCAGACCGGTAGGTAGATACCGAGCTGTGTGTCTGCGTGGTTCATAACTAGTTATCATGCACACATAACATCTAAATTATATATATATATATATATAATTAAGTATATGCATATGCATCATGTATGTATATGCATATATATATATATATATATTATGTGTACATTATATGTACCTATATGTGTATACGTATATGTACATGCATGTATATTATGTACACGTATATATGTGTGTAATATATGTATATATTTATATGCATGTACATGAGTATGTGTTTGTGTATGCATATATATATATA